ACATCAATGATGAGAGAGAATCATTGATCAGCCATCTCCTGCAGGCACCCCACTGGGGATTGAGCACGCAAACTAGGCATGTGCCCTGACAGGGAATCAAACCATGACCTCCTGGTTCATAGATGAACCACTGAGCAACACCAGCCAGGCTAATTTTTTTTAAATGAATGAATTAATTTTTTTTTTGGAGAGAGAGAGAGAAACACTGATTTGTTGTCTCATTTATTTATGCACTCACTGGTTGCTTCTTGTATATGCTCTGAACATGCAACCTTGGAGTATCAATGCTCTAACCAATTGAGCTACCCACCAGGGCTCATTCATTTATTTTTAATTTAACAAATATTTTTATTGAACACTTAGCATGTGTCAGGTACATTCTAAGTGCTGGAGGATGAACAGTGATCAAAACAGATAGTCTTTGTCTTAAAAGCATTTACAGTCTAGAGGGAGAGCAGATAAATAAAGCAAATTAAAAGATGACATAAGTGCTATAACAAAGGACACATCGAAGTCAGGAGTGAGGTCAGGAGGGAGGTCAAAGAGGATCTCCTTAGGGAGGTGGCATTTAACCTGAGACCAGAGGAATGTGCAGGAATTAGCCAGGTATAGGGAAAAGTTAGAGAAAATCTAGGAATGTGAGAAAGTCCAGAGGCAAGAGAGAACATGGTGAGCCCATGGAACTGAAAGAAGAGGGGAAATTGCAGGAAACAAGGTAGGAGAAGTAAACTGGAGACATACCTTGTGAGTTTAAACTTTATCCTAAAGGCAAGGGGAAGCTATAGGAAGGTTTTAAACAATGAATAACCTAATCAGATTTATGCTTTGGAGAGAATATGTGACAGGATGATATGTGAAGTATACATGGAATGTATTCTCTCCATTTATCTCTCTCCTTGTGTTCTGGGCTGCCAACCTGCACCATGCCACCCCACCAACACACACACACACACACACACACACACACACACACTCCCCCAGATGCTTTTGTCTGTAGAGTAGAAAGCGCATTAATTATTGTGGAGATGGTCTGTTGCTGAGAGAGCCCCAAACTCTACATTACAAAATTCAAATACAAAGGTTCTGCACGTTAACTCAGAGATGAAATCAATGAGATTAAACAATTCACACAAATTGTGAATTGTTTTTCCCTTCTGTGCTGGGATGGGAGAAGAAATGAACTGATTTGGAAGAAGATACACTCGACAAAAGGAAGAGATGTTCCTGAATTGCCCACTGGGGTTGTGGGAGACATGGCTGCCCCTCTGAGAGATGAAGCTACATGAAACGTATCTGCATGTGCACCCGCCAACCCATTACTATCTGTCAGAGCCAGCAGGGTCCAAAAATCTAGAGGGCACATGGGGCCCTGCCTATCCTGCAAGGATAGACAAGAATGGCATTAGCAGTTCATGCTAGAATTAGGACCACTCCACATAGGACTAGATGGAGAGATCCCACTCCATCACAGCATAGAGCCAATCACACATGGACCTCCATCCTCTTCTCCACTTCCCTTGGGCAGCCAGCCCCAGGAGACCAAGAGTAAGAGGCAAGAAGAGGGGAGGGAAGGTCTCAAATTGAAGTATGAACTGAAATACTTAGGTAATCTCAGTTTCAGACAAATCACTGGATTAACTTTAGAGCATTTAGAATAAATTGGCTGCCAAAAAGAAGGCTGGAGGTTCAAATTCAGACAGTAAATTACTCCAGGAAAAAATGTTCCATTTTTGCATACCAGAGTGTTTCAGGACTCGTGTACCTATGTGGTGTCTTGCTTGTTACAATCACATGGCTACTGTGTGAGGAATGGTTTGAAAGAAAGAATGGATACAGGAAGATGGGGGGGCGTTATGTAAGGTGTGAGGGTGCAGAGGAAGGATACAAGTTGCAGGATATGAGAAACAAAATCAAGAGTTCATGGGGTGCAATTGGATGAGAGAGATAGTGAAAAGAAATCAGTCAGGGATAGCATACACATTTCTGGCTGCATCAATGAATCCATGGTAGTGCCTGCCACAAATTAGGGAGAATTCAGGAAGAGGTACAGGTTTAAAGAGAGTGAGTTCAGTTTTAGTTTAAGGTGGCAATGGAACATATAGGCAGAACTGATTAAAATATAGCTATCTGGATATGAAGGACATGTCAAATGCTGCATAAGGTCAAATAAAGAGAACTGAAAAGAGTCTCTTGAATTTAGCTCCACATCGATCACTGGTTAGCCTGGAGAAAGAAATCTGGGAGAGTGAATGGGAAGTTGGAACAGTGAATGGAGATAACTTTTCCAAGAAGTTTAGCTGGCCAGGGATGAAAGGGCTGTAGATGGAGGGGAATGTGGCTTTTTTAACCTGAGAAGGAAGGAGCCAGTTGAGAGGAAGAGGATGAAGAGATAGCTAAGAGTGAGAAAGAGTTACTGAGAGTGAGGTCATTGACAAGTCAGGAAGAGATGGGATTCAGAGCACAGGCCAAGAGATCTGCCTTAGATGGGGGAGGAGAACATCTTTTATAATAAGAGGCAAGGTGGGTAAAGATGCAAATTTATAGGTTGGCATGGAAAACTGAGACTGCTCATGTCCCATAACTTCTATGTCTCCCCTTAATGAGTGGCAAATAAAACCACCTACAGAGAACGATAGAAAGAGCAAGCATGAAGGTTTGGAAAAAGAGAAGGATTCTTGAAATAGCCACTGGGGATTTGAAAGAAAGAGCAAGTATGTCAGGGCACTGTGGTAAGGCTGCAGACAGCAAGGAAGTCGTACTTGAGGCTGCTGAGCATGACTTTAGGGTAGCTCGATCTGTGTGGTTGTGTGTGTTTTTCAGCAGAGTCCGGTAGTCCAGGTAAATAAATGGCCAAGGCAGACAACTGATTTCAAGGTACATGTTCAAAGTTTGTCAGGTAGATGAAACAGAAGAATGAGGGAGCAATGGAGTTGAGGCCCTGTCCAAGTAGCTTAGTTGGTTAGAGCACTGCTCCAATATGCCAAGATTGTGGGTTCAACCTCCCATTAGGGTACATTCAAGAAGCAACCAATGAAGCATATATAAGTGGAATAATAAATTCTCTCTTTCTCCCTCCCTTCTTCTCTAAAATCAACAAATAAGACTTAAAAATAAATTGAGGACACAGGTCAGAGGTAAATGTCATGAAGCATGAAATCCTTCCTGAGTAGAGAACAAAAAGGAGACAGCAAATGGATAATAGGTAAGGAGAAAGAAGAAAGAGTAGAAGTTTTAATAGATTTGGAAAGTCAACAAAGTAAAAAATAACCAAATGAGAAGTACTAGAACAGTGGTTCTCAACCTTCTGGCCCTTTAAATACAGTTCCTCATGTTGTGACCCAACCATAAAATTATTTTCGTTGCTACTTCATAACTGTAATGTTGCTACTGTTATGAATCGTAATGTAAATATCTGATATGCAGGATGGTCTTAGGTGACCCCTGTGAAAGGGTCGTTCGACCGCCAAAGGGGTAGTGACCCACAGGTTGAGAACCGCTGTACTAGAGGAACAGAAAGTCATGGGTTGAGAAGTGCTGTGGTTTCTTGATGACAAAGCCTGGGGGTGGCCATGGGATTGGGTGATTGAAACAGAATGGAGAAGGTAATCAGAAATGGAATCAAGAAACTGAGAGGTCAAGCATGCCTCATGGATATACCAAATGTGGCAGGTTGTTGGCAGAATTTGGCACGAAAAAGAACATTATGGGTCCTTTGCCAATATCTTCAATAAATAATGGGTATGGCCAGGCAGTTCGTAGAAGACAGCTGGGTTCAAGGGTATGACATAATGGTTCACAGCCTGGGTATCAGAGGGCAGAACTAAGATCTATGGATGTGACAGAATCTGACCTAGTAGCCCCCACTTGGGAGGACTGCTGAGGAAGCAGTGTATTTGTGGGGGAAAGCCAGGTTTCTTAGGGCTAGAAAGCTAAAGAATGTTCAGTGAAAAGGCTAGGGCGGACTTTTGTTGATGATGGAATGGGATTCTTGAGATCACAGAGGAAAAGTTTAGCACAGCATGGAGTGGGTTGCTGAGTCAAGTATGAGGATAGAGGTCATAACAGGATAACTCATTGAAAGGGCTTCCCTTTTGGGCACATCAAGGACATCTACGGTCTGAGGGGTGGTGGGTTTGACAGCTGCAAAGATACAAGAGAATTGATGGGTCAGGCTTCTTAAGATTCAGCATTGTCATGGTATGTCATACCTCCAAGGCTCCTGGGTCCCAGAAAGGAATGAGCTGAGTCTTGATTCCAGGGAAAGGCTCAAAGCCAAGGGGTGGCTCCTGGCCTGTAGCTCTGGATGGTGTGGGATAGGATGGCCTCTGAGACTCACACAGACTCAACATTCCAGCTTCCTTCACTGCTCACATTCTGCACTGTCTCAGTGCCTCTCTGCCTGTTCTTTTTAGGGTTTGGTTTTGGTTTTGTCTCAAAACTTAAAGGCCAGGGAAAAGCAGCCAGTAAGTAACCTTCGAGCACCGGGAGTTGTTCTGGGAAAGGCAGATAGCAAGTCATCATAGCATTAACCAATTTCAATACAAGGAATATAACAAGGCACTTCTTCAAGGAAGATGTGTTTAGAGTAATTTCCTGGACTGTTTACTTTAGTTAAAAAAAAAAGGAGAGAGAATATAAAAAGGACTCTGATAGAAATCAGACTTATGGTTGTCAGAAGAGAGGAGGTTGGGAGGCTGGGTGAAAAATTCAAAGGGATTAAATATAAATTGGTAGTTCCAAAATAATCACAGGATGTGAAGTACAGCATAGGGAATATAGTCAATAATACTGTAATAACTATGTACTTAAAATATTAGGGGGACCACTTTGTAAAGTATATGATTGCCTAACCATTATGCTACATACATGAAACTAATACAAAATAATATTGAATGTAAACTATAATTGAAAAATAAATAAATAAAATTAAAAAGACTTTGATACATTACCAAATTGAACTTTTCTTAAATATGAGCCGCAATCCACTTGGCCTTGGGTTGGTTTATTTATGTGCTATATTTATTTTCACTCCCCACGGTGAGTCTTTTTGTTTATTCAAAGGGCAAAGGTCACATTTTAGCTTCTGTCCAGGTCATTACACATGAACAATTTAGTGTTCTTTGGAGCACTCTAGAGCCTTTTAAATGCCATATGTTGGAAGGCACCAGCTTCCTATGTTCTCTCTGTCAGCGGATTTTGTTGTGAACATCTTGCTGGAAGACTCCATTTTATTGTTTAATGAAGAGATTCATGATACCAGAAAAAGTAAAGGTTTAAAAAAAATCTTTAGTGGGGCTTTGCTGTAAACGATAAAGATCTTCTGAGTGTGTTCCACTCTTTTTCTCTTGAATTATTAACTCAGCCATAAGATACATGCTTTTAATGAAGTGTTACCTTCATGCTAACTTCCTAACCTTCAGTGCAGCATCTGGTGACATGGTGATGACTTCACAGCAGGTTCAAAGCATTGGTTGACAAAATGGTCAGTCAATAGCATCATTATATATCTTAAATGAATCCAATACTTAGAGAAAACCAGGTGGCTTGCTGTTTGGCTGTATCAGATGCCCAGCATAATGATGCAAATAATCATATTAACTGGCATTCTGTATGACGAAGGAATATGGATGGCATTATAAGATTCAGAAAACACATCTAGCATGAGTGGTCAGTTTCCTAATTCACAGATGTCAGCTTCTCATTAATTCTTTCCATCTCCATATAAATGATTAAATCCATTTCAAAAAATTGTCAACCATCATACCTTAGGTTCTGTTCATTTCTTCAAAAAGGAAGGGTGAATTGGGGGCAGGCTGTTGGTAGGTGTTTGCTGCTGTAGAAGCCAGTCTGCTTTGAGGTGTTCTTGCATTTTTTCATCTGTGCTGCCATCTAGAGAGAAGAATTAGAAACACACAAAATAACCTGAAAATCCCAAAATGGGACTTGAAGGAAAATGGATACTGCATATTGATTTGTAGAAAACTGTAAGAAATATCAGAGATTTGATGGTGATAATTTTGTCCCCCAACCCCTCTCTATCCCTCTCAGACACAAAACAGGATTTGGATGTCTGTTTATCGGTGTTTATGCCAACATTCCAGGCGTTGCTGGGGAGCCATTTCCTGAACTCAAATTGACCTCTTCTTACATAAGTAAAATGCAATTGTGTTAACATTCTGGGACCTCTGAAGTGGAGTCATTTTTCCATAGTTAAAAATTGCTGTAAATGCTCACATTCTGGTTTTCATTATTTAGAGTTAAAATAACAGGGAAAAACGAGAGGAGTGGGGGGAGAGAGAGAGAGAAAGAGAAAGAGAGAGAGAGAGAATGTGACTGTGTATGTGTGTGATTTAACAAGGTGTCCTTTGAACACAGTGGGACAGTTTCCTGAAGTCAGTGTGTTCCACAGCACCTACGAGCTCTGCAGGATGTTTACAGGTGAAACATTGGTCAAATAAATTTGGGGAATGTGAGGCAAAACCTTTTTAAACAGTTTTCTTTAGTATAGGCAAGACTTTCAATAGCTTTTAATTTACTAATGTACACTGTGAACTTGTAAGAAAGGTAAATGCTAGGCAAAGTTCCCTTAACCTGACCTTGAAACCCTAGAACTGATGTTCTGTGGAACAGACTTAAAAAATAGTACAACAGCCTGGCTGGTGTGGCTCAGTGGTTGAGCATCGACCTATAAGCCAGGAGGTCACAGTTTCAGTACCAGTCCAGGCACACACCCAGGTTTTGGGCTTGATTCCCAGTAGGGGGCATGCAGGAGGCAACTGATCAATGATTTTCTCTCATCATTGATGTTTATACTTCTCTCTCCCTCTCCCTTCCTCCCTTTGAAATCAATAAAAACATTGAAAAAAAAATAGTACAACAGGGAAAGGAAGTTGGGCTGCTGCATGCACAGCTTGTGCAAACATAGCAGTTCTCCCTCACATCTGCCCTATTCCTCATCTCTGTCTAAATATTTTTGAAGCTTTGCTTTGGTTCGAGTAAAGATTGGGCAATTTAACTACTTTTTTTCCCCTAGCAAGAATGTTGTAGGATTTGTTTGATAAGCATTACTTGAACTAAAACAAAATAATTTTACCTATAATTTAGGGTAGATTTTCTCCTTCAGCTTACATGTCAAATAGCAAGAAGATGGTCTTTATACTGACACATTTAGTGTGCTTTAACTCTATACAAGGTACCACTGCGTGGGAGAATAGGGAGAGCTGAGTAAAACGTGACTCTTGTCAAGCCATTAAATAGGTGGAGGAATAATTTATATACAATCTATATATATAAAAGCCTAAGTGACCAAACAACTGAACGACCAGTTGACTGGTCGCTATGACACGCACTGACCACCAGAGGGCAGATGCTCAATGCAGGAGCTGCCTCCTGGTGGTCAGTGCACTCCCACACCAGGAGCACCACTCAGCTGACCAACGGGCACCAGACGCAGGGCTCACGGCTGGTGAGCACCGCTGCGGTGGTGTGAGCCTCTCCCGATTGGGAATGACTGGGTGTGAGCCTGTGGCAAGCAGTGGGGCCAGGATGAGCGAGAGCGGCAGGCAGGAGCGGCAGGTGGCGCTAGACTGCTGGTTTCAGCCCAATCCCTGCAGGCCACACCAAGGGACCCCACCAGTGCACGAATCCATGCACCGGGCCTCTAGTTTACTATAAAATCCTTTCAAAAAACAATTCAACTGCATAAATTTAAATATCATATTGACTTTATTTAATGATTCATGAATTGGTCAGCATCCCACCTAGAAAACAGAAAGATGCTTCCAGGAGCTGTATAAATGGAAGGATTTTATAGGCAGAAAAGTGGGAAGAACAAGGAAAGACCAAATTGTTTCAGACAGGGTCACCTTTCTTTAAGGCAGCGGTTCTCAACCTGTGGGTCGCGACCCCTTTGGCAGTCGAACGACCCTTTCACAGGGGTCGCCTAAGACCATCCTGCATATCAGATATTTACATTATGATTCATAACAGTAGCAACATTACAGTTATGAAGTAGTAACGAAAATAATTTTATGGTTGGGCCACAACATGAGGAACTGTATTTAAAGGGCCAGAAGGTTGAGAACCACTGCTTTAAGGAATGAAAGAGGTCTACCAGGTGGATTATCTCACTAGTGCTGACCAGAAAATTATAGACTGATCAATTAAGATTACATTCCTGGAAGAGGCTGAAATTGCAATGAAGTTAGGTATCAAGTTTTAGTTTACTGACCTTAGCACAAGGGACTCCATTTGGGGTCTGTTGTCTTTGTTTAAACAATCCCTTATATAGATAAATAATGGTCATACCAGATTCTTTCATCTTAAGTGAAATAACAGAATTTTGTTTCTGTGGAACAAGGCCATGTTCACTCATGGAACAAAATAGCCTTAAAGTTATCCTGTTGAAGTGGTATCCATTGTCAGAGAATTTCACCTTATTTAAAGAAATATTAAAATGTCAATGGCCATAAATATTTTTCTGAATTAATTCGAGAAAATGACATTCTTAATGAAACTAAGTGAACATAATGTTTTTTAAAAATAATTTTTCTAAACTTTAGGAAAAGGACTATATAATTCATACTTTTGACTCAAGAAGTAAAGTTTCTGTTTAGGTGTTAATAAGGATAATGATAAAACATCATCTTTCAAAAGGGCTACATATTATTTTCATTTTATAGAAGCAATTGGGCTCAGGGAAGTGAATAGGTTATAAATGGTAGAGTTGGGATTTAATTTCATTCCTACCTAGACCCAAGTCCATATTATTTATTTCACTTATGGTGGGCAGAGTAATTTTAGAAAATGTTTGTATACTCCCTGATTTCCATAACCTAAAAATATGACTTGCTGAAGTGAAATGGTATAGTTTACCTGGGATTTAGTCTCCTATAGATAGTAGACTATAAGCTTTGTGAGAGCAGAAACCATTGGACCATATCTGTTTTCTTTACCATATTAAACCCAGTACTTAGTACATCCCTGGCAAGTTGGTCCTCAATAAAAACTTGTGCAATGAGCCCTGACTGGTTTGGCTCAGTGGATAGAGTGTCAGCCTGCGGACTGGAGGGTCCCGGGTTTGATTCTGGTCAAGGGCATGTACCTTGGTTGCGGGCACATCCCCAGTGGGGGGTGTGCAGGAGGCAGCTGGTCGATGTTTCTCTCTCATCGATGTTTCTAACTCTCTATCCCTCTCCCTTCCTCTCTGTAAAAAATCAATAAAATATATTAAATTTTTTTAAAAAAAATTTGTGCAATGACATACACACAAATGATAATGTTTTGGACTAGGAGTGGACACACATTAACACCTTCAATATCCTATTGAAGTTTTTTGCAGTACAATTCACAGTTATGAATCTGTAAAGATTCATAAGGTCTTTTCTCTCATGAAATTATCTGAACCTGGTCATGGGAAGTTTCCATATTTGCAAATGTATTTTCCAGTCAAATTTCAATAATTAATCAATGACAATGGGAGTCAATTTGTGGACGATTGAGAATGTTCCCCTACATAGTTGTTTGGTCATTCTCTAGCAAATTAATTCCCTGAAAATGGATAAAGGAAGTAGGGCCAGTGCATGAAATTTGTGCACTGGTAGGGTCCCTAGCAGCTGCCGGCTGCCAGCTGCCGGCCGGGGCCTCCCTCCCTTCCCCTCACCAGCCCACCCCCTGGTGAAACTCTCAGAAAAACTCTGGTTGAGGGGACAATTTGCACACTAGGCTTTTATTATATAGGATATTCTTAGCACCCTGCTTCCTAACAGATTCATAATACATGTGGAAACTGAAGAAAGAAAGGAAAGATGGAGGGAAGGAAGGGAGAAAGAAAGGAAGAGATAAAGGAAAGAAGGAAGGAAGGAGGGAAGGAGGGAAGGAGGGAAGGAGGGAAGGAAGGAAGGAAGGAAGGAAGGAAGGAAGGAAGGAAGGAAGGAAGGAAAGGGAAAGGCAGGAAGGATGGGGAATGAAAATGAGAGGAATCTTGAATTTTAGCCTTGGGTTGGCTGTGAACTTGGGCCAATCATTTGTCCTTTCTGTTCCTCAGTTTCCTTATCTGAAAGCCAGAGATGTTCACCTAGTTCAGTGGTCAGCAAACCACGGCTCGCAAGCCACATGTGGCTCTTTGCCCCCTTGAGTGTGGCTCTTCCACAAAATACCACGTGCGGGCACGCAGGTACAGTGCAACTGAAACTTCGTGGCCCATGCGCAGAAGTCGGTTTTCGGCCTGGGCGAGTCTATTTTGAAGAAGTGGCATTAGAAGAAGTGGGGGGTGTCAGTCGGTCTGGCGACGGGAGAGCGGCGCAGGCGGGCTCTGGGATATGCAGCGCGGGGGAGGCGCTCGCGATTTGTGCACGAGTTGAGTGAGCCAGTCAGTCAGCAGTCTCACTGTGCAGTGGTTAGTGCTAGTCCCATCTGCAAATCGCGCACGGGTGACAAAAGTACCTACTTGAAGCATAAAGTTACCTGTATTTTTCCAACCAGCTGCAAATCCTACAGGTATTTTTGTCATCAATTTAAGAATTGTAATTATTTTGTGTTGGTGGCTTTATTATTATAAAATGAAACATTTTTTTAGGTGCCCTGTTTGACATGGCTACAAAGAAGAAGCAAAGAAAAACGGAAGACGAAAACCGTGAATTTAAAGTTGGATGGACCGAGATTTTCGCGTTTATTTAAAACTTAAATGGCCTTCGGACCTGTCTTGTCAGGAAAAATTGGCGCATAACAAGAAATCAAATTTGGAGAGTCACTTTACAATTAAACATGTGTCATTTAGTACTAAATATCCTGTTGGTGATGCAAGGAAGAAAGCAGTTGAGGAACTTCAGAAGAGTCAAGAAAAATCAAGTTCTGTATTTAATTACTGGATGCAATCTTCCAACAATGTT